GCATTCATTCATTATGTTTTGACAAAATGCATTTTTGCAAACGTTTTAATAAAAACACTATATCTGCCTATTTCTCCATATCCCACTTTTAGACTTAATCCTCATTTCGATGTGATGGGTCACATATGTATTTTAAAGCTTTTGTTGCTTTGCTTGGAGTTTGAACTATTATTTTTTGTGCAGCAAAGTGATTAAATAAATCATGGATCACAAGTGCAACCACTGATGACTGAAAAGCCACAGAGGTTTAATTGAGTTCTTATTGTCTTAAAACAAAATCAGTAATGTGTGAAAATAAAACCCCAGTTTTTGATGTCCTGGTGGACGTGTCCATATGTCTGAGAGGTAATAAACTATCAGGTTGCAGTGATGTGGAGACATTGATTTTAACAGATCTGACTTTCAGCCTGTCGGGCTCTAAAGAAGCTGCCAGAGTCTCAGAAAAAGACCCAAGACTCACCAGACAAAAGAGACAGAGATTCTTTAAACCAGGGCAGAAAGAGCTCATTCTTCTCCCTCGTTCTGTTTTCCTCGTTCCTATCTTATCCAGTCTACTGCAGGTCTCTCCTCTCCATCCCGCCCAAAAAAGGAGAAGGAGCGTCTTCATTCAATCCACTGAGTCTTTTATCATGAAAACTGGATTGATTACACTGCTATTACATCACTCCACTTTTCTATTTTTCAGCAGTTTTCAATACCAACTTTCTCCACTAAAAAAAAAAGGTTTATAATTAGCAGCTGTGGATATAAAGTGAGTTTTTTTTATCAAGGTCTTTTTTTTATTATATTTTTAACACAAACAACAGAAAAGAACAAACTAACAAAAACACAAAACAAAACGCACACACCCAAAAACCCTCCCATCCCTCCCCTCCTATACCGGATCAACTACATAACATACAAAACAAACTACATAATCTTGTATTGATACCTCATTCAATACAAGGTACAGGTTTGTATACAAAAAAAAACAATCTTTGACCTTTACACAAAGTTATCTGCCGAAATATTTTCCACATAAGATACAAATGGCTGCCAGATGTCAAAGAATTTGTTTACAGATCCCCTAACAGTATATCTAATCTTCTCTAAATGAATGTAAGACATAACTTCTCTTAACCAATGACCATATGATATAAAGTGATTTTAAACTTTTTCARCGACTGAACAAGTGAGAAAAAAAAGAACTTGATGCTTGTTAATTAAATGCCCCTAGACAAAAGAAACTTTAACGATCAAAATAAAAGTCATTACTGCTTTAGTGAAAGTGATTAAAGGTCGGGAAAAACAAGACCAGACAGCTTTTTTCAGTATATGAAAAAACAGCTGATTAACTACATGGTTTTAATTTTTTTAAATAATGGTTATCAGCTTAAAAGATAATTGTGAGTAGTGAAATAATACGTAAAAAACGCATTTTTATGGGGGAAAATAAACATATGAAAAAGCAGGAGGAATCAGAGATTTTTTAATGTTTTAGAAACATTTGTTCAGATTTTTTCACTCAAATAACCATTAACTGTTACTATTTTTAAATGTGCTACAGCTTATATAACATTGTAAAATAGATTCTGGTGTCTAGAACTCATCCAATTTGGGTTTGTTTGTATTTAAGGGCTGATGATTATGTTTCTTTTTCCTAAAAAGAAAACATCTCTTACTTGTATTCTCTGCAAAGCGGTGGAGGCCTCCGTRACGGTCTGTGGCACATCGAAGCATTTGGCCGTGCTGATTTTRGCATTGACCAGCCACTGCTGGAAGTCTCTGAGGGCTGCACGGAACCTCTGCTCCAACAAGCGCTCCTTATTCTGACACTCCCTGGATGCACGGAGACTGAGACTGCAGRGAACGAAAGGAAAGCACGTTAACGAGTATCAAATAGAAAAAAAAAACAAAGAAAGGGCCTGGATTCTACTTTTCGCCTGTTTATCAGTAGAAAAAAGGCCTCTCTTAATATTCATCATGTACTGTCGTCATGGAGGAAGAAAAGCCTGATCGGGGATGAGAAATGAGCAGGTGTAGAAATGGCAAAGTGGGTGAAGTGGAAGGAATGAGCGCCGAGGCCAGCGGGGTTAATCAGCGGAGCGGGGAGGTTGGGGAATGATGTGGGAGGGGGGTTGAGAAGCGACATATGACAGGGGCAAAGGTTCGCAGGGGCGACACGACGGAGACGATGACGCCTGACAGCCGGCTTCTGTAAGAAAACACAGGCGAGAGCGACCTGAATGGTGAGAAACTCATCACAGAGCGATGGTTCATTCATCTGTTGGTGGTTAAAGTAGAGAAACACCACAGACAAAAATCAATAAACCAACACTAGTTTGGACTGGAAGCACAGTAAGAACATTTAGCAAACAGAAAGACCTCAACGCACTCATTGGGTTAAACAGATCTGAAACTCCTGAAGGACAAGAAAGTTTTTTATTTTTTTAAGCAGGAACCACAAACCTGAAAATGGGCGTAATCAATTTAAAATTACATAAAGGTGAATTTTTGGAGTTGTCCAAACAGATTAAATATTTTCAATATGTGGCCTAAACTAAAGAGCAGCTTATGGTATTGTGCAAATGCTATTTATGTAAGAGTACAAACATTAGTACATCTATTTTAAATGGACAATATTATGTGTTTCTCAGGCATATAGTTCAGTTCTATACCATAATAAGACTCAAAGATTCAAAGAATTTTTATTTGCCATTTGTGCATAAACCAGTAGTCCAGGCTCATTGGAATTATTGTGCAGAGCTCTCAGAGTCAAAGTAACTATGTCACCTTCAGTTGTTATTAAAATGCTGTTTATTTGTATAAAACTAAAATAAGTTTGACTTGGCATCATAGCCGTTTCTAAACATCTTGAAATTAGTCTCTGTCTCTTTAAGAACCTCCTATGCTTACGTTGCACCTATTTTTTTAATAGTTTTATTCATTTTCAATTAAAAACAAAAATTTCAATACAACAAAAAAACACAAATCTCATAAGATGAAAGGAAGCAGAAGAAAAAAAATCTTATAATATCTGCACCTATTTAACAAAAAAGAAAAAGAAAAAATATATGCATTTTTTTATGTGTACACAC